TCTGGCAGCAATGGCCTATGACCGCTATGTGGCCATATGCAACCCACTGCAGTACCACACCATGATGTCCAAGAAGCTCTGCCTTCAGATGACCATAGGATCCTACATAATAGGAAATGTGCATCCCATGGTTGAAGTCGGGCTTCTTTTAAGGTTAACTTTCTGTAGGTCGCATGTAATCAAGCATTTCTTTTGTGATATCCTTCCATTATATAGAATCTCCTGTACTGATCCACATATCAATGAACTGACATTATTTAGCTTTGCAGGATCAATTTTAGCCAGTACTATTACTATAGTTCTTGTGTCTTATTTTTATATACTTTTCACTATATTCAAAATGAAGTCTAATGAGGGTAGAGGGAAAGCCTTATCAACTTGTGTATCCCACTTTCTATCCGTCTCAATATTCTATGGTTCTCTTCTCTTTCTGTATGCACAACCACAAGCAGTCATTGATGGAGATAAAGATATACCTGTAGCTATTTTCTATACCCTAGTAATTCCTTTATTAAACCCTTTCATTTACAGTCTGAGAAATAAGGAAGTAATAAATGTGATGAAAAAAGTCATGAAGAAGAGATGATTCTGTAACATTAGACAACAAAGACCATAGTTATTGGTCAACTAATTTAAAGATGAGCATGCCATTTTCTAAACTCACACATAATGAGAAAATGGTCAAATGTAAAAGAAAATTATTAACTTATGGAAGTCTAAGAACATTTGAATACAATTAGTTCATAATAAATAAATTCTGTTAAATATGTTTGAAATCCTCAGGAATAATTTAAAGAACTGTTGAAGCATTAGATTGTATCTAGCTACAATTTGCAATACGTCTAATGAATTTTAAAAATATATTTATTGCTAATTGTTGCATCCTTTTAATATGATTAGCAAGTTTTTCAATTTCAAAATTTAAATTTTACAGCAAATTACAACCTTTGTTTTTAATAAGAAATTCCATCAAAGGAAAAAATCTTTATGACTTGGCTCAATTTTTCGATGTTTCATTTGTTCTTTCCTGAGATTATATTTCAGTATGTACTTATCCAAAAATTTTCTAGCAAGAATATTTTCATATTGAGTACTAGTCACTTTTTCCTTTCACAATTTCTGTACCATAGTATCATACCATGTCCATTACTGGTAAGTAATGCTTGTCAGCCCATCCTTCAAAATAATTTTATTATAGTGAAATTACTATGTTCTTTGAATTTTCCTTTATTTAATTATTCGTCTATTATTTATGGCACCAAAACTCCCAAATGTATCCACTAAATCAGTTTTTTTTCTCCTCTATGGTATTATTGTTGTTTGTTGGTTCTTAGGAATAACAACACCTTCACCAAATCAAATGAAAATAATTTATATATTCATAATTTTAAAAATAGGTATCATTCAAGCATGATAGAGCAAAGAATGAATGAAAACTCTAAATATCTGAACAAAGATAAGGAAGATAATTCACCAGAAAAGGAAAAGAATTGCACAAAATGAACTACAAGTTGTACTAAAATTTTGATATTTATCTTTAACTGACTATTTGAGCATTAAAAAGTTTGAATCAATATTGCCTTTTCTCTAGATAATTGAAAGCTGGGAAATGTTTGAACCCTTTACAAAGAACTACAGGAAAATGCTGAGAAAAGGAGAAATAGACTCCACAGATGACACCAGTTTGTTATTCAGTACCAGATGGTCAGTCCTGAAAAAAACATATGTATACACACACATGTGTGTTCATATGTATGTATATATCTACGTATAAACAGACTAAGTATATTATATACTTGAGAATATATATAGTCAAAGTTTTTAACACTATACATAGAGTTGAATGATAGATCAATCAATAGATCGATGAACTGATGATGATAGATGAATACAAGATAGGTGGGTAGATAGAGAGTTGATATATTGATAGATGATATATAGATTGATTGATAGTAGATAGATGATAGATAGATAGATAGATA